ATCAATAGGAAAATTATGAAAAAAATATCATCAAGTCAGGAATCAACATATTAATATTCACACGAAATTTCAGCCAAAAATTATACAAGAAACATTAAAAGACTAATTGCTAAAATTTTGAGAACAAGATGAGAATTAATAACAGGGGAGTATATGTTGAATCCGGGAGCATGGCTCAGTACATTGCTTCAGGCGTAAGGCCCATTGAGTCCATAAGCTTTTTTGCTTCAATTTTAGGCTTCAAAGAAAAAACATGAGCATGGGCCTAAGGAAGAGATTTTTAGTCCACCAAGTCACCGATCCATCATCACCTTCAAAAATGTTTTAGCCTATTATCCAATTCCTTTTCTTTATGTTAAATTGAACAAAATAATGAAAATAAAAAAAGGAAAAGGGACTACGGTTAAGAGATAAAACGTGTCTCTTCATCTCCCTCACGAAGCACGGCTGCTTCCTCTCTTGAATCACAAATTGGAATTCTTCTTCCTCGCTTTTCCTTCTGAACAATCTTCTTCCCTTTAAAACTTCGTTCGTGGTAATTCCTCCACAGTCACCATCTCACCCTCAAGAACCACTGGTTATAATTGCGAAAGCATCGCCTCCGCCTCACTTTGTCTATGTTTGCCAGAGAGGATCTCAGTGATTCTTCGATGTCTATGGAAATAGCTTGGGAAACCAAAGATATTCAAAGAAATACGATAAACGTCCAAAATCTTTTCCTCTTGTTTTTATGTTTTGCGAAATCTCTGTGTGCTTCTCCTATTTCTTCTCCTTATTCTTCTTTTTCACATACATGATTGTTGTTGTATTCCACTTCTATGAGTGTTTTTGTACTGAGAGTGTGAACATGGGTGTGTTGCAGAGGGTGAATTGAGAGGATGCTACTGATAAATAAACTCAGAGCAACAATTGAAGGTGTGTGAAGGTTGAATGGAGGGTGGAGGTGCGATGCAGTTTCAAAGAGTGAGAGAGAACTGGAGCTTGCAAAGATTTGGGTAAGATGAAGATGGTTAAGATGATTAAGGATTGTGCAGTGAGAAAAGAGATTTTTTGGTGAGTTATTTAACTGATCTTCTGAGAGGTGAATCATATCCCCTTTTCTTTTGTTATGTATATGTTATACCTCTCTCTTCTTCTATTGAAATTTTGTTAGCTCTTCTGTTTTTCTTTTGAGAAGTTTTTGTTAGACTGTTAGGAATTAGGAAGTTATAGGGAGTTAGAATTCGGTTGGGAATTCTGTTTAGGTTGGTTATGAGGTTTGTTACAGGATTTAGTTATGGTTTTTGAAGTTGGAGTCCTGTTGGTTGGGTAAGTTCTGTTAGAAACTAAGCTAAAAGTTAGTTAGTTGTGTTTAGAAAAAAAGCAGTTGGAGTTTGAAATTCTGTTAGAGAAGAAACGAATGGCGAGGGTGAGAAGTTAGAATATTAGTTATAAAAATTTTGTTAAAGAGGAAGTTATTTTTCTTGTTTTCTGTTAGTGAGCTGGAAACTGTTATGACAATTAGTTGGATAATGGGTAGTTAGTTAGGGTATTATGTTATCTTCTATTCTTATGAATTGGTTTTATGTACATGATTCTGAGCTATAGGTTTTCATGTGTGGATTTCTGTAATGTAATATATGTTGATTTTTTGTTATGCTGTTAGGAAAAAGTTAGTTACATATTCTTTGAAGTTCTGTTTGATGGTTAGAAAGTTAGTTGAAAGTTAGTTACTAACTGTTTAAAGGTTAGTTAGAGAATTTCTGTTTAGAAGTTAATTATTGTTAACTGTCAATTAGAAACTGTTAGCAAGTTAGAAGCTAGTTGCCATGAAATTTTGTTATGAATAAACAATTAATTTCAATTGGAATTTTGTTGAAATCTGAAAATATGCTACGAGCTGTGAGGTAAACCTTGCCTGTCACGCTTCCGATAATTTCCCTTTCATTTTCCATTTAGTTTCCCTCTGTTTTTGTGCAGGTTATCTGAACTGGTTTAATTATTTGGATTTCTGCAGGATGGCTTTGGTTCCGGATTTTGAAGCGCATATTTTCTCCTGTTGTGAATAGACACTAGCGTGTAGGTATGATTTTGTGGTGATTGTAGTTCGTTTTATGAATTGCCTTTTTGTATTGGCTTGGCTTGGATATCTGGTTTTTTATGTACAGGATGTCATGTCATGATGAAGGTAATATTGCAGGCCTGGTGCAGAATTAACGGTTGGTTAATACAAGAAGCCGTTGCAGGTTCATGACATGTCTGGAATTTCTTGGTAACACATGTTTAGCTTTATTTTTGCATTTTGTCATAACATGAGCTTAATGACCTTACGGGAACATGACAGGGCAGTAGTGCATATTAATTCCTTTGTGTTCTGTAGGTCTAAGCATGGTGCATGAGATGCTTATGGCGTACAGGCAGGTCCATCTGTTAATTGACCCTCAGAGCTTTTAAGGGAATCATGGAAATCGGTTGAAGAATAAAAATTAGGAATAGGTTTAGGAGAAAATAAAAACATAGGTTTAAATCTTAGTAAAATTTTGTGTATTTTTGGTATGATGTAATGTATTGGAACCTTGAATGGACTTGAATGGACTCTTGAATTTTAACCTTGAATGATGACAGATGTTTGTAAAAGTGATGATAATTTGTACTTGAAACTTGGAATTTTGATGACTGAGATGTCTTTTGTAACTTTGGTGTAATGACTTGAATTTGTAATGAAAAAAACTTTGTAAATTCTTGCATGATAAATTTCCAATTATTCAAAACATTTCTCTCATTCAATTTGAACTTGGATACTTGAATGAACTTGAGACAACCATGATAAACACTCGAATGTTATTGAATGAATCTTTTTATCTTTTACCTTAGGATGAACAATGATGTGGAATAATATTTAAATAACAAATTGAATCATGAAGAAATTTACTTGATACCATGTACTTTAATCTTAACTTATGTTCATATGCCATCTTCCTCCGTAAGAACTTATGAACTAATCCTTCGGGCACACTATTTTTTGAATCAAGTTGAACCTTAATCCATGTTTGAAACCAAAGTTCTTGAACAAATATCCAAATGATAGCTTGTACCAATTATTCATAATTCCTTGACCGTCAAGCAACCAAACTTATCATATAAAATATCTTGAATCATGACGTACCCAACCCTAATTGATTGACTTATCAATAGATGAACTCAGTGCAACAATGACATAGTCAGTAACCTATAGCCCAAGTATCACATGCGTCTTGGATTGATAACAAATCTCGATCCTTTAGAGAAATATTAATACACCTCTAGTATTGACAAAACCTTGACCAAATGATAAGAACAATAATAGAATGAGGTGTCTTAATTCAAAGATCATGTACAAGAGATCACAACCTTAAGTTATTGACAAGAATACCTTGTAACCTATTGTTCAGCAGAAGATAATAGCCTTGTAGCTTGATGGAGAAGAAATCCAAAATGAACATGAATTAAAACTCTAATTCCACAGTCTTGTACACCAAGAAGAAACAAAGTAATTAATCTTATTCAATCATATACACCTCAAACCAGTCATAAACCCCAACCTCATAACTACTAATCTTTTGAACCTCAGGTGCTCTTGCAAAATGTATGCTATATTAGTGACCTAATGAAAAGATGCGAATGTGACAGCCTAATCCAGATAAAATAAACTAGGAGGGAAATTTTTGGGGTGCAACAACTGCCCCTATTTAATCGTCTTAAGCCTGAAGGTAAGATTGGCGCTAGCCTTTCGAACATTCAAGGCAGAAGAAGATTAAATACTAAAAGAACCCGAAAATTTGCACTCCGAAGCCACTAAGGTATTATTATATTTTTTGGTTTTCTGTATTTTCTTTTTTTTTTCTTTTTGGGTAAAAGGGGTTATCAGGGATAAATGTATGTCGAATCAGGGTTAGACACACAGAAGAGAACTTTTTATCAAGGAACATCTGTCAAGAGTTAGTAGCAGACATAAGGAGGATACCGAAGATGGAAGAGATTTAACAAAGTGATCTCGACTAAATATATCAAGGAAGGAAGAAATCTAACACATCTATTTCAACCAAAGATATCAAAGAAGGAAGAGACCTAACACAATGGACTCGACCGAAGATATCGGAGGTGGAAGAGATCTAACAAAGTGATCTCGACCAGATATATCAAGGAACACTACAAGAAACTTGCGTTTTAGCGTTGGCCAAAAACCATCGTTAACAAGTAAAAAACCGACGCTAAATGCCTTTAGCCGGCTTAGCGTCAGGGTCGGGACAGACACGCTAAAGGTGGAAGCAAACCATAACGACCAGCCTTCGCTACATGTATCATTGACTACGGAAACACTAACGGGATGTTATCTTATCAAAACCGACGCTACATTATAGAATTGTTTTCATTTAGCATCGATTGTTATCGATGCTAACATTTATTTAGTGGCGGTTTAGAAGGACACTATAATATTTTTTCCCAAATAGCATCGGTTTATTGGGTCACTTAAATATTATCTTCAATTTATTAGCGTTGGTTTTGTGGGCCACTATTTCTAAGGTCCAGCGTAGGTCATAAAGAATGCTACATAGCTAAAGTCGTATAATGTAGCATAGCTCAAAGTCGACGCTAACGGTCTATTATGCTGTTTAGAAGCGTCGGTTTTAGTCGACGTTATTATTAATTTATTCTGGCAGTTCTATTTTATATTGTATATACCTATTTAAATCCAAATTAATTCTACTTGAAATTTAAACTTGTTTTTGTAATTCAAACTATTCATTGATATATAATCACAAAAACCTGAACACACGATGACAAACTTCCAAAAATCTACGATATTGCTACATTAATTAACATGTCACAGTTACAACAAAATATTGACACAATATATCAAACTAGTTCTCATCCACAATGTTGTTACATAAAGATGTCAAAGTTACATCAAAATACCAACACAAAATATCAAACTAGTGAAAATCCACAAAATAAGTTCTAAAACTAAGAAAAAGACAATGTCAACATCCATCACTCATTCCCTCTAGATCCAATGACTGACCATCAGAGTCATTATCATAATGATCACTAGCACTAGGATGGACACTAGAAGCAACAATGGAAGTACCCGCCTGACCCGACTTCCAAGCAAACATTTGTTTATGAAATTCTTCAAATTCCCTTTTCAATTCTGCTGTCTCAGCCATAGCTTCTCTTGTGTTTACGTTTGCTTCGTCTGCATGCATATTAGCTAATGCAGCCTCTTCACGTGCTCTAGAAGCCTCTGCTCTAGCCATCTCAATGGCTTGGCTCTCCGCTTCTATTTTCGAGTTTGAAATGGTCACTTGTGTCAAGTAAGACAGTCCATATTGTTTGTTGACTGTCATTCAGGAATTTCCATAACATTGGCCTCGTAACTTACCGCCGACAGCTTCTTTCCATAATTATAGCTTTTCCGACCCATCCACATTATTATCATTTTGGGTGGCTTGTGTTAGACGATTCACATAATCATCTTGTACAACACAATATAATAATTAGGACATTCCAATAATCTTCCTGAAACAATAAGATATATGATAATTGTACCAGTTCATAAAGTTATACAAGTACTCATCTTTGATTATACAAGTACACTTAGATATATGATAATTGAAACAATAAGACAATAAGCTTCATGTAGCAGTTCATAAATTTATACAAGTACTCATCTTTGATTTTACTATTTTATAAGCTTCATGTTACACTACAGGAAATAATCTAACAACATTCATTCCAAACAACATTGGTCAAGGTGGTTTTCAGGATTTACTATTAGTATTCAAACCTCTTATTTTAAACTTGTGAACAAAAGAAATCCAGGTGGTAACTATGAGGTAGTTTTCAGGATTTACTATTAGTATTCAAATTTTTAGATTGATAAAGATGAAGAAACAAGCAGGAAATTAGCTAATCTAGTAAATCTCACAGGAAATAATCTAACAACATTCATTCCAAACAACATTGGTCATATGCAGAGCTTATAACTACTGAGCATTTCAAAATTGACGTTTCTTAATTACACGAACTTGTCTTTTAACAACATAGAAGGATAAATCCCACTAAGCACTCAATTACAATCTCATGAATACACTGGTGCAGTATGGAAGAAATATGGAAGCATGAATGCAGTATGAAAAAACTAGACACGGATATGAAATTAAGTTATGGAATAAAAAAGGTCTTACATGTTTATTCTCTGCACGACGGTCAACCCACTGTCCATTCTTCTTTTTGTGGGTGGCCATGAAGAGCTCGTCCGGATTTGGTGGTCGGCTCAAAGTTTTCTCCTATAAATAAAGACAACATATATATGGTTACAATGAATATGGGATATAAATATTTTTACGCCTTGAAATTAAAAATAGAATACACACCAATTATATAGCAACATCATGTTTTCGGGTTCTATTTTTTTATTCAAACAATTGCTTGCAGGATTTTAATGTTTACTTTTCAATGTATTTTGTTTTCTGTATTTACCAAACTATTATGTTTTAACCTTCTCAACTATATTTATAATTGTGAATCTAATCCTTCATGAAGAATGGTTCTTGCATCCTGTTGTCATGCTTTTGAAGAATGGTTCTTACTGGTAGGATAAAGAATAAAGGGTAGTTTGGACTAAATAGAGTAGTTATGCAATTAGTTAAAAGAAATATACTTAGTAAATAGAGTAGCGACTCTGTTGTAAAAGGGGAAACCCATGGAACTTATTGGAACTCCTATCAGGAGACAAATGTGTTTTGTATTGAAAATAAGGATAAATAACTCTTGAAAGCTTAATATCTGACCTGTTGTTCAAGTTATTGAAATATACTGTTCATATGACAAACATCCTAGAAACTACAAACTACATGCATACATTGCAAGGAAACATATTTAGAGCATTTAGTTTGTCTCACCTTTTCATTTTTGTTTTATTCTAGGTGACTATTAACTATCTATTGGGAAAGTTGGGAAGAGATTATTCAGACATTGTCGGGGTAGTTGATCTTGGAGGTGGATCGGTTTAAATGGCATACTCCATCTCTGAGACAGGTGCTACCAAGGCTCCAAAAGTATCCGATGGAGAAGACCCTTATGTCAAGGAAATGTTCCTAAGGGGAAGGAAATATTACCTCTATGTTCACAGGTTTTTCTTCCCACTCTTAAACCAGATAAGGATATTAACCCCTTATTTTAATGCAACAAAATTCTCAAGCTAATCATCATACCAAATATTAACATAAAAGGTCATGTACACATAGACATGACAAATCATCAAAAAGCTATTGGTTTTCTATTTTATATACTAGTTATATCTTTGCTTCTGAAATTCTTGCTGCAGATACTCAATGTCACGTTCAATGTTGTGACACCGTATCTGACTTTCTATAAGACAGTAAATACAAAAATAGTAAAGAACACAGTCAATTGTTTACCCAGTTTAGTGTGCAACAACACCTACTCTGGGGGCTACCAAGCCAGGGAGGAAATCCACTATAAGAGATGTTAATTCAGGAATAAACCAACCAGTTTATCTCCTTCACTTAAGACCTACCCAATGCAACTTCAATCTAAGTACAACTTAAACCTGAGTTCCTACTCACTCCCCCTCAATCATAGCAGTGATACATAAAACAATTTGACTAATGAATTGATAAAGACACTCTTCAAAAACATACACTTGATTAAGCTTCACAGCTTTTTAATCAAGCAACACAAACACTCTTGCTTCACAGCTTTGAGTGATACACACACCTAACTTGACTCTGCTTCACAGCTTTAGTCAAGAGACATACAAACACTCTTGCTTCAAAGCTTTGAGTGCTACACAACCCTTACAATTAAAAACCTATTCCAAGTCACTTATCACAATGATAATTGCTTGGATTACAATAGTTAAAGCTATACAGCTTCTAAATGATCTTCTGTCAAAAAGGGATTGCTTTCAAAACAGCAGCTCTGTTGAATATATAGCAGCTGCATCTTCAGTTAGGGTTTCCCAAAAAGCTAGGGTTAATTCCATTTGACCTTAAGACTAGGTCACATGACTTTATCAACCAGGTTAGGGTTGAGCTAGGTTAACCCAAAGAAAACGCAGGATTCTGTTCTGGAAAGACTGAGTCATTTTCCTGAAAAAACTCAGAATTAACCAAACTGCAAACCTGTTAGTTCAGAACAGGATGTCTTAACATTTGTTATGACATCTGAATTCCTGTTTACTGATTTTGGTAAATGTGATCATTTTGCAAAATGCTCAGATACACACTCATATACATCAGTACCTGTATGACAATATTTTTCTGCAAAGGTACCTAATAAATCTGTACCTAATAAACTAGAATGTTAAGACATCAGTCATGACATTCATACACCTGGTTTTGCCAAAAATGCAAGCCAATACCTAAACAACTACAAACTCCCCCTTTGGAAGATTTTTGGCTAAAGCCCCTAAGCAATCAGAGATAGATAGCAGCAGAATAAAAATGACTGCAGAAAAATGGAATGTCAAATAAAGTATCACAATATATCTCCCCCTCGTTAGCCACAAATGGGCCAAAGATACAAGTTCATAAAAATTATACAGTCATCCAGAAAAGGTAATAAGAGCAGCAACTAAAAATTGAACACACTTCCAAACTCCACCAGGGACCAGCATCAACTCCAAACAGCAACTCCACCAACCTTTAAGCACTGTCATCAGACTCAGAGGATTCGGGCTTCTTCCTTTTCTTGAGAGCAATGTCAACATTCTTCTCTTTGTCTGATGTCTCAACATCCTTAGAGACATCTGGACTTGTTTCAGCATTTGAACTTTCTTGATTTAAAGGAACAGAAATGCCAGGAACTAAGTGGTTCTCGTTCAGAATTCTTGAAACAATTTTTGCTATTGCTTGACGAACATAGGCTGACCCTTCCCTATTTGCAATTTCAGGGGGAACTGAAGAAGTAGGATGAGATGAATTACCAGAGGCAGAAGCTTGGGACCTTCCTGCATGTCTTGTTCTCAGCTCTTTGACCTTGGTGGGGTTAGATTCCACTTTTCTAAGAGAAGAGATCTCCAGGACTTCAGAGTCCTGACAAGAAGAGATTGTCCTAGAATCTTGATCAGAGGAAGAGGTTGAAATCGTCGTATTGGATGATGATGGTGTTTGAGGCATTTTGACAGTCTTAGAGGACCAACAGCAACTGAAGAGAAAATTCTGATTGAGAGACTGGGTTTTGATGAGGAGACGAGAGGGGAAGGAAGAAAAGGAGTGTCTATTCAACTTTTTAAAAGAATTGAAGGAAATGGGAAAATATAATTTTAACCCAATCAGAACAAGCATAACTCCTTTAACCCTTGTTTTAAGCAAAATTAATTGCTACAATTCCTCATGTTGGCAAATACCCAACTTACCCCTCAAGTTTTCAAATTGATTTGCATCAAGAGCCTTGGTAAAAATGTCAGCCAGCTGTAGCTCAGTGGCAACATGTTCCAATTTGATTGTCTTCTCTTCTACAAGGTCTCTGATAAAGTGATGTCGTATGTCAATATGTTTGGTCCTACTATGCTGAATGGGATTCTTGGAAATGTTGATTGTACTCAGATTGTCACAGTACAATGTCATAACATCTTGTGTGACATTATACTCAGTAAGCATCTGTTTCATCCAGATCATTTGAGAACAGCTACTACCAGCTGCAATGTATTCAACTTCAGCAGTAGAAAGAGACACACAATTCTGTTTCTTGCTGAACCAGGAAACCAGATTATTTCCCAAGAAGAAACATCCTCCTGAGGTGCTTTTTCTATCATCAACACTACCAGCCCAATCAGCATCACAGTAGCCAGTCAGAGCTGGTTCACAGCCATGAGAATACAGCAACCCATAGTTGTAAGTTCCACTCACATACTTCAAAATTCTCTTCACTTGATTGATATGACTGACTTTAGGATCAGCTTGGTATCTTGCACAGACTCCAACTACAAAAGCAATATCAGGTCTGCTGGCTGTTAAGTACAACAAGCTTCCTATCATGCTTCTGTACACACTTTGATCCACCTTAACCCCACTTGAGTCTTTGGAAAGCTTTAAATGAGTAGGAGCAGGAGTCCTTTTGTGACTGGCATTCTCCATACCAAACTTCTTTACAATGTTCTTAGCATACTTGCTTTGAGATAGGAAGATTGAGTCCTCCATCTGTGAGACTTGTAGTCCAAGAAAATAAGTTAGTTCTCCCATGAGACTCATTTCAAATTCAGCCTGCATCTGGTCAGCAAAATGTTTAACCATAGGTTCTGACATTCCTCCAAACACTATGTCATCAACATATATTTGGGCAACCATCAACTTCCCTCCTTCAGTTTTGACAAAGAGAG